GTAATAAATGAAAGAGTGTGTGGTATCATGAGAATAGTTAGTTGGACTGTAATCCATAAAGGACTTGTTTAATGCATGTCAATGTCATGATAAGCTCACACCCAAGTTATGTTATACCTGATAGTGGTATTAAACTTTCTTAGTTTAAGTGGTGACATTCGAGAAATCATGTATATTAGATCAATATCAAAACTTAGCAGTTGACCTAGTAGGCGTGTAAGGTGAAAAAAAGATCATGTTGATTTAGTAGAATCAAGTCACTTAGACTGTTCATCCTATTTAAGAGATCTTCACAAGTGAATACGTGACAATGCATTAGTTGAGATGTATGCATATGATGTGGTATGACTTCGTATTGTTCATATGTTTTAGTAATTACATGATTGCATGACATGATTGTGTTGTAAGTTTGATTTGCTTGAGTTGTTTGTCTTTAAAATTTATTAATGTCGTGTTTAGTGTTGTATGATGTGAACCATAAGGTACATGTTGGGTGATTTACATATTATTGTTGGTAGTATAGTTATATTTCATATATACTTGTTATATGTTAATTTTTTTAAAATCTATTTTACCCTTATATATTTTCTGATGGTTGAATTGCGATAATCATATTTACATGAAAATAAAATTGAGTTAGTTGGATATAAGTTAAAGCTTTAATGAGTCATGTTATCGACGGTTGATATCTAAGATTCTTATTTTCTTATTATGAATTACTATATATATATATTCAAGTGATGTAAATATATTAATATTAAATATTTTAATTATTCTATTACTATTAGATAATTTTATTAAGGGTATAAGGACAATAATATATTGTTACATAAGAAATGTAAAATAATAAAAAGAAGAAACAGTTAGGATTCAATGGATTTGAGCTGAAAAAGCGTCCACTTATGTATGTCATTTCAATGTTCTGTAGTAGTGTTCCCTATCAACGTAACGATAATGCTATGCGATGCTCAATCGTGGCTCCCACCGTTCCGTACACTCACTTTTTTCGGCTCTAATTAAAAGAATTCAAATGTAATTTTGTTATTTTATACCTTTTGATCGGAAGCACTAGACTTAACTCCTGTTTGATAAAGGGGAAAAACATATGTAAAAGATTACAATGGAGAGAAATAAAAAATAAAGAGAAATAGGTAAAAAGTAAAATTGAAATTTAATTATTTTGTTAAAAAAAATAGGTGAGAAATAATATATATATATAGGGATGTCAATGGAGTCTCATGGAGGCGAGTAATAATAAACACGTTCCCGCCCTACTAGATGAAAATTGACTTTATACCCATCTCATATCCACGCGGGTATTCATTAAGCCGGTATTCATGAATTTCTTGAATACTCACGGATATCCATGGATATTTATAAATTTTTTAAGAAATTAAAAAAAAAATATTACAAATAATTTTAAGTTTATATTTAATGTCATTGAAATATGAAAAATAAAATTTCAATGTTAATTTTGAACTTGTATTTAATGTTAATTTTGTTGAAATAATAATAAAAAAGCAAGATAATCAATAACTTAAAATACATCAATCTCACAAGTAAGTGAAAGTCTCATATCACAAAGATGAGAGAGTATAGTTTTAGGATTATGTGGTACAAGGATAATTAAGATATTTAAGAAATATTATTAAAAGGGTACCCGCGAGTATGAATATCATCATACCCGCCCCCGCCCCGTTTATAAACTGGTAAAAAATTATTCGTCTCCATTATCTACAGGTACCCAATTAGCCTATCTATTTATTATTCATAGCGGATTTTACCTGCAAATACCTGCGGGTACGGGTATTTTTGTCATCTCCATATATATATATATATATATATATATATATATATAAGAGAGAGAAATAAAAAAAATGAGATTCATTATTTTTAATTTTTTTTCTCTCTATTTTTTTATTAAATAATTTCTCTCATTTTTACTTTTTTATTTTTACTCTCTCTACCATATTTCTCACCCATTTCTTTTCTACCAAACAATGATTAATTAAATAAAAATTACTTCATTAAGTAGAAGTACGTGAACTTGAATTTAATTTTCATTACAATAATTTTAATCATTTTTACAAAAGTTACCTTCTGATCTTAATATATATATATATATATATTAACAATACAATCCACGAATTTAGAATCTCATATAAACTACTTGAATTTTTATCATTAGGTCATTTTTCACAAGTTAATTTTTAATAAACTAAAAAACTATAAAATTTTTGAGAAAAAATAGAGAAATTTAGTTTTTCTTAAAAAAATCATACATATTTTTTACTGGAAATAATTTTGTTCAAATTGAGTAAGATACAGTAAAATTTATTTTCATATTAATGTTAACATAAAAACTAAATTTATAATTTAAAAAAATGATCTTGCACAAACAAATGTATTACAAAGTCTTTACGATATATATATATATATATATAATCATTCATGTACTGATAACCAATTATATTTTTTAAATTATTTTATTTTATTTTTATTTTCTTAAATAAACAGATGATATGATACTATTAAAATATATGATTGATTGTCTGTATAAAAAAGTTTTACATTGACAGTGTATATGTTTTATTTTATTTTTATTTTATTAAATAAACAGATGATATGACACTATTAAAAGATATGATTGATTGTCAGTATAAAAAAGTTTTACATTGATAGTGTATAAGTAATTAACTCATATATATATATATATATATATATATTTTTTTTTTTCCTCATTACGATCATCTTTGTAATCTTTCTTATCTTTAAAAATATATATATATATATATATATATATATGTTTTTTTTATCACTTATCAATTCTCATCCGGTCATTATAAAAAAATTCCTAGTCTTACTGCAGTTTTTTTTTTTCTAAATGAATATATCTTAAAGTCTGTACAAGATTGTAAAATTAAGTACTTGAATTTTAAATACTTTGATAGAGTATCAGATTATTCTGTCGTTTTACTCGTATGAAAAAAAAAAAAAGTTTATTGTTTTGTCGTAAAACATGAATTAGTCGAATCTAAATTAGAATATAGTTAAGTATTTTTAAAATTTATTATATGTAATAATATTATTTAATTTGATTTGAATAAAATTATTTCTCTAATAAAAATACATGTAATTTATATATATAAAAAATTAATTAATCACATCAAATTTATTATTTGGTGATCACTCAATAATAAATGATCCACAAATGAATTTATCTAGACCCGATGTTAGTAAACAAATTGTTAAAATAAGTATCATTACTCTCGTATTTGAAATATTTTAGTAGATTATTTGATTTTTTTAGTTTTACGAAAATAATAATTAAGACTTTTATCTTATGATTATAAAAAATTGAATTTCATCCTAAAGCTGTCTTTTTTGGGGGAATAAAAAGACATGTATTTTATCATAGATGATATTTATTCAAGTGGAGCAATCAAACTTGTTTAGATAAATTTTTTAAGAAAAAATAAATAAACTTTTACATAAATTAAAAATTTTAGAAAAATTATATGAAAAAATTTTTACAAATTAATTTATTCATAAACTATTTTTAATTTATCTCATTTTTTATTTTTATTTTTCTCTTTCAAAAATATTTTTTACAAAAATTTATCTAAATAAATCCATATAAATATAAATATTTAATACAATTATATTAGAACCCAAACTCAATACCTCACCTCAAGTTTAAACAACGTGAGCTGGATGGTCCTAAAGTTTTTATTAGGTAATAACTCACTAAATAATTAGTATTTCACATAACCTCCTCACTTGAGCTTGGATTCCATTTAAAAAAATAAATAAATAACTTTTCGCAATTCAAACTGATAAAGGTTTAATTATTGATGTTTATTGTTTTAAATTCCAGATTTTGTAAATGAAAAAAAAAAAAAAGATTTTAGGGGAGTTTCTTATATGAAGAAAACTAAGTATTAGGACAGTTTTACTCGGTGTTTTAAAACCCGGACCGACCCGGTCGGTCGGACCGGTTGGACCGGGAACCGGTGGTTCAGCCGGTCCGAATCTGAAGTTAGATCGGTTATGCAGTCGGCCCGTTTCAAACCGGATTGAACTGGTCAATTTTCCGGTTCAACCGGTGAACCGGTGGGTCAAACCGGTTCAACCACTTTTGTTTTTTTTTTAATTTTTTAAGGGACCATAAATCAAAAAAATAATAATGAAAATTGAATCTCTTAATGAAAAAGCAATGAGTCTTAATATTACATATATTATTTTGTGATATTAATTGCAAGCATATTATATATGTACATATTATTTATATTTTTAATTTGTATTAATATACCGTTTAACATGTAATTTTTTTATGTATTTTTTTACAAAATAAAAATAAAAATAATTTTAAATAAGATAGAAAAATTAAAATTTAAAATAAGATATGAATTTATTAAAATTTATAAGTATAAAATATATTTAATATGAATACTTTTTAATAAAAATAAATAAAAATCGAGTCATGCGGTTCAACTAGTGACCCACCGGTTCAACCTTTGACCCACTGACCCAGTACCTTAACCGGTTCGATGACCGGTCCGATTTTTAAAACTATGGTTTTACTGTGAACCTTTTTTAAGTTTAACTAGAAAAATAAATTTTATGGTTTTTAGATAACTAGAAAATAAGTATAAAGCATGATAAAGTAGGATATTTTGAAGCTATAATTTAAAAAAAGCGCAAGTACGTAATCCATCAATTTGTGTATATCCATGAGAAGAAAATATAGAAGTGGTGATATGATATATTAAAATGTGCAAATACCATTCAAGAAGATACTCTCCCCATTAGTGCTTATGATCGAAGTGCAGCTTTCCATATGACACTGAAATGTCCGAAAGAGAATGCATGGAAATGCAAATGCAATGCAACATTCGAATAGGCCCACCCTTGAATGATGAAAAGGAAAAGTTGAAGCTTTTTGTCTTGTGCTTCTCACTTCTTAGATCCTAGACACCTGACATCTTTTCTCTCCTATAAAACCCTTCCTCTCCCCACCTTCATATCATGCATTCCCACCCCACTCTCTTCTCACAATTCACATGGACACTAACCATTCCCGCAGGCAGCTTGCTGCAATGAAACAGTCCCTCTTTGATCAGGTTCTTCTTCCTTCCTCCTACCACTTTTATACTTTATTTTCCTACAATTTGCAACATACCACAAATGTTGGAGATCATAAGCTGATTACTGATATGGCACACAACAATTTACTCCTTACACCTTTGTCTCAAACATGAGGAAAGGAAGAAAAAAAAATACAAGTTTATCAAAATCTTTTCTCTCATTTGATAGCCAGGAAAACAATAAAAGAAAAAAAAATGGTGGGCTAACTCAAACATTCTTTCTTCTAATTTGAGAAAGAGAATGAGAAAGATAAAAATTAATGCATAAAAAACTATAAATATCCTTATTTATTGTTATGCATATTTTTTAATTGAGATATTTATGTCATTTCATATACACATTTCTACTCCTCTTCTTTCCTTCATTTTTCATTCTTCACTCTTTTTTAGCTTGTGCACTAATCTCATTCATTAGCAGAGGAAGAAATGTCAAGTCAATTGGTAGTTAATGCAAATTACATATTCCATTGCTTCATAACCTGATTACCTTAAATCACAAGACACACAGGAAAATTGTGTTTTTGTTCATGGCACCAGTAACTGATGAGGGAAGCATCATTCATGCATTGGAATTAATAACAGATAATGGAGAGAAAGAAAATTCTGCTAAACTTAAAGAATCCACGCTTTCTGATGATGACATTTGTGCAGTTATAGCAGACATGAATGGAATGCATACTATTTATTATGCAATGTTCTGTTAGCTCCATAACTGTTCAATTTATGGTGAATTGGAATATTTTTCTCTGCAGGGATTGCTGGATGAACAATTTATACAACTGGAAGAGTTGCAGGATGATGCAAATCCTAACTTTGTTGAGGAAATTGTGACTCTTCACTACCGTGATTCATCACGGCTTATCTCAAGCATAGAGCAGGCTCTGTAAGTTAACTAACTTCACCATTCTTTGTACTTTCTAGACCTATTTCTTTTTTGAAGAAAAAAAATTGATAAATAGAGTTAATTCATTTTTGTGCTTGTAGCAAAGAGAGGAATCTGGATTTCAACAAGCTGGACACACTTATGCATCAGTTCAAAGGAAGCAGTTCAAGGTAAATATAGGATTAGGATAGTCCAACAGAAAATATTAACCATAGTTATACTAATAAGTTAGAGTTAATTATATTTTAAGTATCATCAGGTACATACTGTGTTGGCTTTATCACAACAGAGAATCCTAATTATTTGAACTCTTTCTTTTGTTTCTTTTATAATGGATTGCAGCATAGGAGCCAAAAAGGTGAAAGCAGAGTGCAATTTGTTCAGGGAATATTGCAGGGCAGGAAATGCAGAAGGGTAATAAATGATCCTTCCACAACATAACTGAAGCCTTAATGCATTTTGAAATTTCTATATTTACAAAATATATTTAATATTTCATCTTATAAATTAATTTTGTAAGGTTGAATTAGATTAAAATTTATAAAAAATATTTTGTAAAATATGTTTAATCATTTTAAAATATGAATTTTGACTTAATTTTATAAAATAAAAATTACTCTCACTTATATATTTTATTTTAATCATATAACAACTGATCTCTATAAAAACATGACATTAAAAAAAATGTTGCTTCACTGAGCCAATGAGAAATTTTCCTAAAAATGATGGTAGTGTTTTTGCTTGAATATGCAGATGCATGAGGAGCTTCCAACAATTGAAAAAAGAACATGCTGCACTGAGAAAGAAACTTGAAGCTTATTTTCAGGTGTCTAGAGTATAGAAAAATGTTTGTACTGTAAAATTGTTGTGTTTGGCAATGTGGTGTTAAACTAATGTTCCTTCTTTTGTGCAGTTGGCGAGGCAAGCTGGACCCCGCGAAACAGCATGTCGCTCCAAATGAAGACCTAATGAAAAATATGCATAATAAGGCAAATGTAATTGGTGAAATTTGTATCATAGAAAAATATATGTATTTATATATATTCACCATAGGAAAGTGATGTTCGCCCTTTTCAGATATTTTGTTTCAGAATATCAGTTTTGTTTTCAAATGTTATAGGAATATTACTCTTCCACTTCATACTATATATAATATATATACATATAACCCGGCAATCCATGCATGGGCTTGTGTAAAATAATGTTCTAATTCAAATGTTTCAAAATTAATTTATAATAGGTTTAAATATATTTTTAGTTTTTATAAAATTGATAATTTTGATTTTGATCTTTTTAAAAGTTTTTTTTCTTTTTATTTATATAAAATTTATGAATATTATTTTTGTTATTGTAAAATGATTAAATTTTAATTTTGATTCTTATAAAATATTTTTTTTTTTATCTTTTTAAAATCTAAATCAATTATTTTTAATCCTTAATGATCATTTTAAGATGGATAAATAATATTTATTTTAAAAATTATAATTTTCTTTTAAAATATTAAATATTAATATAATATCAATAATAATTATAAATAATACTTAGGATAATTATTTAAATTTTTAATAAATAAAAAATAGTTAAAAATATCATATAAAAATAAAGACTAAAAATAATAATTTTAATTTTATAAAAATAATTTTTTTTATAAAACTAAAATTAAAGCTTATTAATTTTATAGAAATTAAAAACATATTTAACTCTCTTTAAGATGAGACTTTTAGACATTTTAAAATTTACTTAATTATATACACGTTGTGACCGTCTTTTTCTAGACAAATCACTCGAGTAAAAGATCTAGAATCTTGGACCATAATCGTGCATAAATATAATAGAAATCATTAAATAAATAAAAAATGTCTTTAGATGAAAGTTGGGAACTTGGGAATTTCAATACACAATTTTTAACTTCAAACACAAAAGAAAAAGATAAACTTTATTGCATTTTAGAAGCTCGCAACAACTGGTATAGATATATGTACTAAATATAGTGTATGCACTCGTATTATAAATATAACGAACTTTTACTCAATAAATTGACATGTACAATTATTTGGATTATTTTCTAATATTTATGTCAAAAATCGTGTTTATTTTAATCTCATAGTGTAAAATCCTTTATTCCAACTTACATAAAAATTAAATTTCAAATAAAATGTGTGAAAATATCTTCCCAATGACAGTATATCCAAGAGGACCAAGACGATAACATAGAGGTCAGCAATTAAAATGAGTTTTTTTTTTTTTTTCATTCAGTTGATTCAAATATCGGAAATAAAGATTTTTTTTCTTTCTATTTTCATCGATATTCAATCACTTTATTAAGTCATTTAAAATATCATTTTATAATAAGATTCTTTATTAATAGATAAATTGAATTTCTTTTAATAATTTTTAATGGATTGTAAATAAATTAATACATTATTTTTAATAAAAAAAAGTATATTCTCTTAAAATTTATTAAAAAAATTAGCTCAAACAAACACAGACACAGATACCAAACAAACACATACACTCTTTTGATCCATTCATAACATTATTTTTAAAATTGAATATTTTTCACACTCTTTTAATCCATTCATAACATTATTTTTAAAATTGAATATTTTTTTATGATTATTTCAAAATAATATCTAATTTATCAAAAAAAATTAAAAGTTAAAAAAAAATTTAATTCGCTTTAAAGAAATGATTATTTGTTTTTTATCATTTTATATAATTTTAAAATAAAATCGTTAATTTTATAACTTAAACCATTTTACGTAAGTCATGAAATTAATATTAAAAATATTCTAAAACTTTTTAACTGTTATTAATATTGTCCATAGGATTTGAATTAAATGGGTAGATTGTCGTCCATCTATTTAATTATATAAACTTTTCAAAATCTAATAATTTTTTAAAAACTAACTTAGTTTGTATTTGGAAAAAAAAATCCTAACATTAAATTGTTTTGTTGAAAAAAAAACTGTTCATAAAATAAGCATGATGTTTGACAACTTCTGTTAAAATTTATAAACAATTTTTTTCTTAAAAATAAATTATTTTTAAAATTTGAAATTTTGAAATCTATAAATATCCTTCTAATAAATTTTTTTCTTAAAATTAATTTACAACATAAAAATTGATTTTTTTTAATATACAAATAAAATTAAATATTACAAGCTCGTTTTTCAACAAACTTATCAAACAAAAATGTATTCTCATTATAATCAATTATCACAATAATTAATTATTAAAATAATATAATTTGGACAATTTTTTTAAACACACTCTTATCGGATTGGATTAAATTTTATATGGGTGGAATGAATGGATCATGTATAAATAGATCTTTTTATCACTCTTAGTTAAAATCAACCCAACCTTTAAATAAGTTAAATAAGATAGTAATTTTTATAAGAGTTGAAGTGAACAGGTTAATTTTAATTTATAAGAAAAGTTCATTATTTTATTTTATTTTTATAAATACTTTATAAGTGTATTCAAACATAACTCAAACTTGATAAATACTTTACTATAAAAAAGGAAGGTTTTGTTCTCTTCTTTTAATTTTATCATCAATTGGATTCCAAAGGTTTTAAAGGGCAGACCCTGATCATTTGATAAACATATTCTCATTCTTGGTATCATTATGAATGATGAGGTTCAAAATCAAATCATTTTCTATAAGGTACCATCTTGGATGCAAGTTCATAATCTTCCTATAGGATTTACTACTATGGTTGTTACTACAATGCAAATTCTCATTCTTTGGCGTACATATATGAGAATTTGCATTGTTCTTGATGTTCGCAAACCACTAAAGCATCAAAACAAAATTAAGAAATCTAGAGAAGAAGTCAAGGAACTATTTTTTCAAGTATGAGAAGTGGAGGTCTTTTTTTTTTATTTGTGATTTGTTAGGTCACGCCAATAATTATATTGAGTAATTATTTATTGTTGAGAATGAGGATGGGGAAGAGGCTTGTTAGGATGCACCAAGAAAGTTTTTTTTGAAAGACAAATAAATCACACACACACACACACACATATATATATATATCTTAACATCATTTCAACTTAATTCCACATATCAACGTTGTATCAACACCTCTCAACAGATATATGTCTAAAACAACTTACAATATAACATAACAACAAATATACAACTCATATCAACAACAAATCAACTCATTAACAACTTATGCGTCGTCCCGCATTTTGACTCGGAGATCTCCTAAACATGATAAGTAGTCTAAGTGGCTAGGTCTTACCGAACCGACAATACAACAAATTTGGATATCAATCCACAACACGATAATGGTTTCTCAGACTTTGCCACTTAAACAAGGAAGTATAGTAATCGGTTAGAAACTAAGTTCCCGACTTTGTACTTCACTCAAATTGGCCACTTGTAATCAATATAGGTCGACCTGACCCCTATACCGTGGTCGCTTTGTAATCGGTATAGCTCGACCTTGCCCCTATACCATGGTAGCTTTATAATCGGTATAGTTCGACCTTGCCCCTATACCATGGTCGCTTTATAATCGGTATAGCTCGACCTTGCACCTATACCGTGGTCGCTTTATACACGTGTGCCTCGACCTTGCCCACACACATATATACTTATATATATATATATATATATATATATATAATGAACAAGGGGTACCTTAACCATTTTAAAATAGATAGGAAACATGGTAGCAACATATTTGTGACAATCCGACAAGACACTACCAGCCTAACACATTCTAGCTCCCAAATAAGCATGTATATGTCAATACTAATTCTTGGCACAATAGCATAGACTAGGTTTTCTACTATTCCTCTGTCATTATGCAGCAATGAGACACAATAAGCTAATACCAATTTACCGAGTTTCAGCCCCCCTTACACATATGTCCATATTGGTATAATATTATCTATTTTGGACCTAAGTCCTTATGATTTTACTTTAGGTTATTTCTAAAAGGTCTCATACTAATGAAACATATGTATACTTTATAAACTTACGGTTCTCCTCCTTTTCACATGATGTGGGACTTTAATTGCACTTTCAATAATCCTCCCATCAAATAAAAGATCATGGTGGTCCCCAACTTTTCTACCATTAATTCACGACAATGAGACATGTTCCTAACCTCCTTGTTACCAGGACAACCTCCACTTACATATATGGACTAACCGTCAGAAGCCACCAAATCTATCATACTTGTTTAGGTTGGAGTCGATTCTTCATTGACCTTGTCACCGTTTCTTCTTGTATATCAGGATTCACACTTCCCCACACACAATGTCAATTGTTAGGGTGCACCAAGAGGGATACCCTACATACATGTTCACATTGGTATGATATTATTCACTTTGGACTTAAATCCTTATGATTTTGCTTTTAGTTATATCTTAAAAGGTCTCATACCAATGTAGTATGTATGTACTTTATAAACCCATGGTTCTCTTCCTTTTCACATGATGTGGGACTTTGATTCCACTTTCAACAAGGTTATAGGGTTAAAATAAATCTATGTACAACTACATGTAGAAGGCCACATTGAATGCACATTTTAAACACAATGAGGTAAGCACGTTACACCCATAAATGAAAGTGGAGACTACAAATTAAATGAATTGATGAAAGTTAATTTTCTAAATCCTAAAATTTCATTCTTACCATTATGTATTCAATGAAGAAACAAATTTTGGTTGATGAATATAAAAACAAAATGTTGTTCTTGTACATGGACCCATCATTGATGTGAAAAATAATGACCCATCATTAATGTGAAAAATAATGCAAAAACATTAATGCTAGCAAAAACACTCTAAGACATTCATTTTAATGGGTTGAAATTTATTTGAAAACATAAAAGTTGGTAGGTCTCATACCCTACTTAATGGCACTTTCTTTTGATTTTGTGATTTTCAATAAATTTTAACAAATGAGAAAGAGATTATTAAGAGAAGTTGATAAATGTCCATTTTACTTAGAAATTATGACTATTTTGACACTTATCTAACTATGTTTAAAAGAAATATATATTTTAACCACTAAAATATTATAAGAATCAAAATGATGTATAAAAAGGGTACTTTATGAAAAGTTGATGGATTTTTAATTGATGAACCCTT